TCCATGAACCTTTGTTTTTCTTCATTCTTCTTTGCTCCAGAGGAGGAGAGACCCATCGTTGCATGTAGATGGCCACTTGCATGCTTTTAAGATCCCAGTTGCTACTTGCAAAGTAGGATATGGAACAATGTTTTGTGTAGCATGTTATGCCAATTGAGCTTGATGTCCCCTGTGACTATGGTCCCAAGCCCACAAGTCCAATAACTCACTTCCTCTGGGTAACTGGCTGTGGCCAAGAAGTAACTGCAACCTTGTCCCTTGTCAGCTCTACTATATACTTGGCAATTCTTATAGAACTACCAATACACTTGTAGAAACATTATCGGCCAACCCTATACATGGTCTTGGGCACACTCTCCCCTGCACAGATATACCTCACAGTTCAGACTGTCCACCCATCTATCCACCCATAGATCACTGCCATCACTGACAACATACTACTGTATGTGAAAAAGGGTTCATCTTTGTTGTCTGTACCTTCCGTGCACCTCTCCATGACTTCCTCTTCCTCAATGCTGTTGATCACTCACATTTGGTACACTGCCCTTCTCTTCACTCAAATTAATACTTGTCTCTACCTGTCTAACAGTGTTCCCTTCCTACCCTCCCACCCCTGGTAACCAACAAAGAAAATTCCCTTCCATATATAAACTTTTCCTTGACTTTTAAAAATAACGGAATAATACAACATTTCACTTATTTCACTCAGCACAATGTCTTCCACGTTATGCGGTGTTTTGCAGATTCTACATTATTCTTTAGCATTGCATAGTATTCCATTGTGTGTATGTCCCATAGTTTGGTTATCCATTCCTCAGTTGATGGGCATCTAGGTTGTTTCCATCTTTTGACTATTGTAAATAGTGCTGCGATAAACATGGGCATGCATGTATCTGTTCTTGTCCTGGCTCTCACTTCTTTAGGATATATACCTAGTAATGGGATTGCTGGGTCAAATGGTATTTCTAATTCCAGTTTTTTAAGGCATCAACATACTGTTTTCCATGGTGGTTGTATCATTTATAGTCCCATCAGCACTATGTGAAAGTCTCAATCTCTCCACATCCTCTCCAGCATACGCCATTTTCTGTCTTGTTGAACTTTGCCATTAGTGCTGGGGTGAGGTGGTATCCCATTGTTGTTTTGATTTGCATTTCTCTGATGGCTAATGATCATGAACATTCCTTCATGTATTTGCTGGCCACCTGAATATCCTCTTTGGTGAAGTGTCTATTCATGTCTTCTGCCCATTTCTCAATTGGATTGTTAATTCCTCTGCTGTTGAGATGATGGAGTTTTCTACATATCTCTTTAGAGATAAGTCCCTTGCCAGGTATGTAATTATTGGCATATATGAATTTGTTGCTGTCATTTTTGCTACATGCTTTCTTGTGGTGTCAATTTCTTTGTCCCATATGATTTTCTATGCTGAGCTCATTTGTTTATGAATTGTGTTATCACTTCCCTCATTGCTATTGTTTTAGTATTTACTAAATATTTGTGCTGGTCCTCTTTTT